CTCTTCCCAAAGGGAAATGAGGAGTTAAAGGATTTTCCTGGTGCCCAAGGAAGCAGCTGCAGAAGCAGCAGGAGACTCTAAAGGCTGACACCAAGAATAAACTTCTTCACTTACACAGCACCCCTCAGCATAAATAAAACATGGGCACTCTGGGCTGTGGCTTTGCAAAGTATTTTTGACCCAGAGTATGGAGTTTTCCATGTCATCCCTGTTTGATTCCTTTAATTAGATGGTTATGTAATGAACAGTGGGAGGGACTCAGTTACTTCTGGATTGGCTTCCTTGGCCACACTGATCACAAGCCAACGTGGTCTGTGAGTGAAAATACACTTTCATGGGTCTTCCCTTCTGTATTTGAGGTCAGGTGAATTTTGTGGGACTGAAAAAGTTGAGTTTCCCTCCGAGCTGCTGCATGATCTGAGCAACCCATTTATTATTTATAGGCAGCACAGGCAGCACACAAACAATTCGCACATCTGCCAAACAAAAATAACAACAAAAATAAAGCTCTAAAGCAAGGAGACTCCTGCTGCCATCCTCCAGCACAAAACCAGGCTCCAAACCCCAGCAAAAGCAGCACAGTCCCTGGGAAAGGCTGGGAAACAGGAAGGGAAGGAGACACTGGAATTCCCAATCCTACTCAGATGGGATCCACCTGCCATCCCGAGTGTCCTGAGGGTTTTTGTACGGCTCCATCTTTTTTTCCAGGAGGGGAAAACCAAGGTGGAATTTCATTGACATCAAAATGTCAGCGTGGATCAGGACGAGCTGCGAGCTGCACCAAACACAGCCTGCAGCTCCCCGCTTCCATCTGGCAGAGCAAGGGATTCCCTCTTGGACTTCTTGGATTCCTTCTCCGAGTCTGGCAAGCAACTCATCCACAGCAAACCCAGAGCAGCCTCAGAGTCCTTCCCAAAAAACTGGGACACGGCCTGAGCTCCAAAATCCTGGGAAAAACCTCTCAGATTGGTGAAACACAGGGACAGCTCCTGTTGTGATATTCCCAAAGGTTAGAAGGCCCTGAGGTTTCCCAGAAATTAAACAAACCCCAGCCAGCCCTCCCAGTGGGACTGTCCACCTGGCAACTGGACCAGCCCCACCAGTTTTGGGGGAAAAAAGCAGAAGTAGAAGGAGCAGAATTGGGGAATACCCAAATATTGAACCCCACTGCAATTGCTGCAGTGGGCACAGAACAAATCTGAATTTCCCCAAAGCTGGAAGGGCCTGGATGGTGCAGGTTTACCCGGACAGGTGAGAGGCTCCTCATCCCTGGCACAAAGCCTTGCACAGTTCTGGACCTTAAAGCTTTTCTCACACTCCACTGCAGCCTTTAGTGGTGAGGGCTTCTGAGAGGAGCTTTAGTTTGAAGAGATAAAAGACACCAATGATGTCCTGGGTTCTGTAATTTGCAATATTTGGAAACCAGAGGGGTTTTGCCAGGATTTATTCACCTGGTTTGGATTCACAGGCACAATGAGCTGATGCAGAGATTCATGAGAGCAGACACACAAATTTAATCACTGAAATAAGTGAGAAATGGATCAGGGCAGGGGTGTGGGAAAGCATTAAAATGCCCTCACAAAAAGCTGAACTCCAAACCCTGAGAGGATGGATCCCCTTTAAACACACACAGGGAAAAGGTTCCACTTCATGCAAGGGAATGGCTGGAGCTGTGTCAGGGGGTTTAGGCCACATTTTGGAAAAGGTTCTTTCCCCAGAGGGTAGTGGGGCACTCAACAGTACCAGTTAAATCCCCACTGTGCAGCAGAAGTTATTTTAAACCCCCCCCAAAAAGTGGTTTAAAATGATTTTATTAAATATCTTGGGCACTGGGCAATGGGTAACACAAAATATCTGAACTGTGTGCTTTTTTCCCACAGACCAACTTGAGAAGCAGCCTAAGGAAGATAAAGTCCAAGGCTGAATTTCACAGAACTCCCTGCACTGAAAATCAACACAACCCCACCACTCCTCCTGACAGCACAAAATGTTCTTATGCAGAAAAGAGTGGATTAAATTTTCTTGGTAAAAGGAATTCAGGAGCACAGCAGAGTTCACTGTGCCCTGCTGCCTTCCTGGAAGACAATTTCCCACATCAGAGAAAGGTAATGCATAAAAAATAATAATTCCCAAACCCTTCAGGAGAGAGAAACTGCATGGAAACCTCCCTCCTTTGGAAAAGCAATGGAAATATTCCAGAGTTTGTGCATGCACGTGGCAGAAGTTGGACATGACCAGCCTGGAAGGGAGATGGACACCAGGAGTGGTCCCAGTGCTCCCAGTCTGGGTTCCTCTCTCCTGGGCTTCCTTGGTTTCCCCTGCAGGGCTGAAATATTCCAGGCCTGAGCTTGCCAGAAGTTAAATTTCCTGGTTTAAGGCTGGAAAAAGGTGACCCAGGCTCCTGAGAGACACAAAAGTCATGAAATCCCAGCATGGGATTGTCACACCAAGACACCCGTGGGCTGCAGGTGGACATCAGAGCAGCTGACCAGGCTGGGGCTGCTGTGCAGGGAATTCCAGACGATTAATGGCAGGAGAAACCCCAATTAATGGCAGAAAAACCCCAATGAATGCCAGGACAAACCCCAAGGTGGCCAAGCTCCCTCAGGAGCAAAGAGGCTTTTCCATGGAATCATGGATTGAAGTTGGGAAAGCCCTCTGAGAGCACTGAGTTCAACCTTCAACTCAACCCTGACATGTTAACCCACCAAACCTCAGCCTCAGGTGCCAAACTGGACAATTCCAGGGATGGGGATTCCACCACTTCCCTGAGCTTAATTCCCCAAATTTCCCATTTTCCTGAGGGAGCAGCACAGAGTGCAACCTCCCATCCACACCAAGGACTCTCACTGGGCTCTCCAGGATGGTTTCATTTAACTTTGGAATGGGGTGGCCAAGGCACCTCTGTCAGACCACACATTTCCTAAATCCTAAAATATTCCAAGAGCTGCACAAAACCCACAGGAGATGAGGCTGAGGGCTCCCACCTTGCTGTGTTTATGGCCTGTGCACAAGAGCTCATCATAAAACCTCACAGAAATGATGGGAGGTCCATAGAAAACAACCAGGATGCAACAAAACTCCATAAAAAGCAGCTGAGACACTCTGCAAAACACCAAACACTCCAAGAAACTACAGAGGAAGATGAGAGGGTTTAAATGAATGTTAAATCATCTGGTGATATTTGGTGGAACCATGGAATGGTTTGGGTTGGATGGGACCATAAATCCCATCCCATTTTCCCACCATCCCAGCTGCTCCAACCCCTCTCCAACCTGGCCTTGGACATTTCCAGGGATGGATGGGCAAGGTTAAAACCTGGGAAAATTCAGTTGTAACAATCCTCAGCTACTATAAGTACCATCATCATCATCATGCACTTCTTCCACCCTCAACAGCAAAAAAAAAAAAAAAAAACATTGCTCCCAATTTTACAACTAGCACAAAAATTTCAATTAAACACATGAACAATTCTCTCACCTATTTCCTCAATATTTGGGAAATGAAAGTTCACTGTGAGAGGATTTGGAAAGGAGCAATTGTGATGTGGATGAAGGAGAAGAAGGGATGAGTTCACACTGGGAATCCTCTCAGGATGTGGGAAGAGGATCTAAAACCGTGCTCAGAGACCAGCGAGGCTTAGAAACAAAACCACAACAGCCTAAGGGATTAAAAATCCCAAGTTCAGGAAATAACAGTCCAGTGAAGGAGAAAAAAATAATAAAAACATAAAGCAGAGAACCCAAACTTGAACAGAGAAAACATCTCCCCACACAACAAAAACCATCTACAGCTGCAAGAAAGCTTAGACTTGGTAACCTCAAATGCAGGAAGAGTCTTGAGCTGAATTATTTCTGTCCCTTAATTATTATTTACACTAAAAAGGGCCTGAGCACCTCAGTCACAGCCAGGTCTGTGCTGAGCCAGATGTTTTAGAGCCCTTTTTGGGTATTTTAATGCACAGCCAGTTACACCCCTTTTTTACAGGCAATTCACAGCCCGTTTTTGGGTACATTAAATGGAGGGGAGGTGAGAGATTAACACGTTTCAACTCGCTCCCAGCCTCCTGTACAGAGGGAGGAAAATTCTACATGTGCAAAATGTAAAGAAAAATAAAGGGGAGGGGGAAAAGGGGAAAAATAAGGGACGACAGGAAAAAAATGGGGGGAAAAGGAGAATGAAGGGGAGCTTCATCAATGAGCTCAGAGGTCTTTTCCAACCTAATTGGTTCTGTGATTCTGGGGAAAGAAATAGGAGGTGAAAGAAAAAAAAAAACCAAAGTTGAAGGGATGTAAAAAAAGGGGGCATGAAGAGAAACTTTATCAAGGGTGGACTCATTTACCTCTGAGGCTTTTTACAAATTAATTGATTATAGGGGGAAAGGCGAGATGAAGGGAAAAAAATGGGGGTGAAGGGAAAAAAAATGGGGGTGTGAAGGGAAAAAAAGAGGGAGTAAAAGGAAACAAAAAGGGGGATTAAAAGAAAAAAAAGGGGGGGCAGAAGAATAAAAAATGGGGGTGAAAGCAAAAAAGTGGGTGAAGGCAAAAAAAGTGGGTAAAGGCAAAAAAGGGGAGTGAAGAAAAAAATAGGGGAGGGTGAAGGGAGGAAAAAAAGGAGGGATAATGGGTTAAAAAAAGAAAGGCGGTGAGGGCCAAAAGCAGGCACGAAGGGGCTCCGAGAACAGCAGGGAAAAGGGCGAAGCAAAAGCCCCGCCAATGTCTGCGGCCGCGGCCCAACTTCCCCGGCCGGCCGGGCCCGGCTCAGCCCGGGCCGGGGCTCCGAGGCCGCCCCGCACCCGCCGCCCCCCGGCCCCGGCTCCCGTGGCCGCCGCCCGCGCCGCCCGTCCCGGCCCCCCCGCGCTGCCCCGGCCCCGGGGCGGCCCCGCGGGCCCGGCGCGGCCGGGCGGTCGCGGCCGCCGGGGGAGCGGGTGCGGGCGGCGGGGGCCCCGCGTTGGTGCGGCTGCGCCGGGGCTGGAGGAGATTGCGCGGTAGGACGCTCACCTCAGAGCGGCTGCGCTGCGGCGGGCCCGCGCCGCGGGGCCGCGGCGGGCGGAGGGCGGGCGGCGGGCGGGGGGCGAGCGGGGCGGCGGCGCGAGTCGCCCTCGGCCGCCGCGGTGGCGAGCGCGGGAGGCGGGGACCGGCGGCGGCGGCGGCGGCGGAGGAGGCCGGGGACAGCGAGAGGGGGGGAGCGGGACGTATGGCGTCATAGCGCCGCGCCGCCGCCATCTTGGGGAGGGCGAGGGCGGCGGGGGCGGCCATCATGGGCGGGAGGTCGGTGCCATGTTGGGGAGGGCGCGGGGGCCGCGCGGGGGGCGCGAGGGGCCGCCGCCATCTTGGGGAGGTCGCGGCCGTTCCCGCCTCAGGGGCGCTGAGGGACGCGCGGGGCGGGAGCGCTGCTAAAACCGAGTTTGGCGTGGAAACGCAGGGAAAAGCGGCTCGGAATAGATTTATTTGGACATATTTATGGTGGGAAAGTCCAGTTTAAAATGGAAGTTGCGGAAAAATCGGTTTAAAATAGGGTTTTTTCATATTTTTGGTGAGAAAATCCAGTTTAAAAATGAGAGTTGCGAAAAAATCCATTTAAAATACATTTTTTTTTCGGTCATGTTTTTGGTGGACAAATCCAGTTTAAAATAGGAGTTGCATAAAAATCAGTTTAAAACTGATTATTTTCCCCATATTTTTGGTGGGAAAATCCAGTTTAAAATGTAAATTCCTGGGAAATGCCTTTTAAAACAGACATTAAAAAAAAAAAGTGCCTTTTTTTGGGAGGGGTTGTATTTTGGAGTTTTTTTGTGAAAAAATCATCTTTAGAATGGATTTTTTTTTCATTGTTTTGGCGGAAAAATCCACTTTAAAGTGGAAATTGTCGGGAAAAGGTAGTTCAAAATCAAAATGTTTCCCTTCTTTTTTTTTTGGTGGGAAAAAATACAGTTTAAAACTATTAAATTATATTTTTATTTTTGTTTAAGATACAGTACAGCAGAAAGGAAATTTCCCTTTTTTTGTGGGAGAATCGTGTTTAAATTCTACATTTTCCTCCATTTTTGTGGAGGAATCCATTTTTAAATTTATTTTACCCCATTTTCTGTGGAAAAGTCCAGTTAAAAATACAAAGTGTTTCCCTTTTCTGTGGAACTTGCAATTCATCTGGACTTTTAGTGGGACTTAATAATACTAAAAACCAATTTAAACAATTCCATGCTTTAGGGAATTGAAAAATAAAGGATTAGAAACACAGAGGGGAAAGGAGCTGAGGGAAATAATAAAAATGGGTGTAAATTCATGAGGTTTTTGACTTTTGAGGTGGAGCTTGATACTTAATTCCTTGAAGCTAATGGATTTTTTTTTTTCTTAGGAATGACATGGAAAACACAGCAGAGACAGGCACAAGAAGAGTTCCTAGAAGTTGTTTAAGAGCTGCTGGAAAGAAAATATTTTCAGGGATGTCCCTTCATTTAGAAAAAATTTGTGTTTATTCCATGCTCTGGTGGATCAAATAATTCCTTGGGATTTAAATTAGTCACCCTGTGTGTGTATATATATATATATATACATATATATACACACACATATATATATACACACACACACATATATATATGTATATATATGTATATGTATATATATATGTATATGTATATATATATGTATATGTATACACATATATATAGATATAGATATATAGAGATATATAGAGATTTATATAGATATATATATCTGTATATCTATATATATATGTATATATATGTGTGTATAATTTTATATATATGTTTACATATATGAATATATAGTTATATGTATATGGTTCTATAGATATATGGTTATATGTAATGTAATATTATAATTAATATATTTATTTTATAGATCTCTATTTATCTATAGGTGGATATATAGGTAGAGATTCTATGGAATCTGGGATCCCTGCAGGAGGAAGGTCCTGGAGAAAGGCAGATTACGTGAGGCAGCAGGGAAATGCCCAGGGGCAGGATGTGACAATTGACATTGTTTGAGGTTTTGGAGCAGGCTGGGGAATGCTGCAGGTGCAGCTGCTCCTGCCTCGGGCAGCGGGCTGGGTGGGGATGTCCCATCCAGTGCATATTTGCAAGGTGTTGCTGATGCCTTTGGAATGGGCTCATCCACACATGGGATTGTGAAAGTGCCAAAAATCCCTGAGTCTGTGCCTGCTGGGGGCTGCCACGTGTGGTCTATTTTTTGTGGGGAAAAAAAAATCATATTTAAAATTGATTTTTCTTTCCTTGTTCTGGCAGAAAAATCAATTTTAAAGTGGAAATTGTGGGGGGAAAAACCAGTAAAAATGGAAATTTTTTCTTTTTTTTTTTTTTTTTTTTTGTGGAAAAATACTGTTTAAACCTGATTTTTTTCTTTATTTTTTATATTTTCTCTAAGATACAATACAAAAAGGAAATTTCCTCTTTATTTTTCCTCCCTCTGTGAAGAGCAAAGGAACAGCATGGATGTTCATGGATGATCCAGAGAAGCATCATTTCCCAGTGAGAGAGAACAAACCTACACTTTCTCTTTGGAAAACTGAGCACCAGCACACACCTGTCCAGGATCTCTGGAATTCCAGGTTGTGCTGGGCCATAATCCCACAGGAAAAAGTTGGGAAATTACTTAAGTGGGAATGCAGATGTGGCAGCAGAGGGAAGGGAGCCATGGGAGTGCTGGAGGTGGTCAGGAAATGCCAAATTCAGTGTTCAGGGAAAGCTTGGGGAGGAACAACCGAGGGGAAAGGTCTAAATGTCCCCATTCCTGGGTCTGGGAAGGGAAAAAATCACATAATCTTGGAAGGGAGTTTAGGGATCATCCAGTTCCACCCCCTGCCATGGGCAGGGACACTTCACATTATCCCAGATTCGTGGGATGATGGGAAGGGTTTAAATGTCCCCATTCCTGGGTCTGGGAAGGGAAAAAATCACATAATCTTGGAAGGGAGTTTAGGGATCATCCAGTTCCACCCCCTGCCATGGGCAGGGACACTTCACATTATCCCAGATTTGTGGGATGATGGGAAGGGTTTAAATGTCCTCATTCCTGGGTCTGGGAAGGGAAAATCACAGAATTCTGGAAGAGAATTTCAGGATCATCCAGTTCTACCCCCTGCCATGAGCAGAGACACTTCCCATTATCCCAGATTCCTGGGATGATGTGGAAGGTTTAAATGTCCTCATTCCTTGGTCTGGGAAGGGAAAAAATCACAGAACTGTGGAAGGGAATTTAAGAATCATCCAGTTCCACCCCCTGCCATGGGCAGGGACACTTCCCATTATCCCAGATTCCTGGGATGATGTGGAAGGTTTAAATGTCCTCATTCCTTGGTCTGGGAAGGGAAAGGCACAGAAAAATCACAGAATTGTGGAAGGGGCTTGCTTGGAAGGGAATTTAAAGGATCATCCAGTTCCACCCCCTGCCATGGGCAGAGACACTTCGCATTATCCCAGATTCCTGGGATGATGTGGAAGGTTTAAATGTCCCCATTCCTGGGTCTGAGAAGGGAAAAAATCACAGAATTGTGGAAGGGAATTTAAGAATCATCCAGTTCCACCCCCTGCCATGGGCAGAGACACTTCCCATTATCCCAGATTCCTCCAGCCTGGTCTTGGACACTGCCAGGGATGCGGAGTCCACAACCTCTGGGACAACCTGTGAAAAACCCACACACTCAGAGACCACAAACAGCATTTTTCAACCATTCACAATATAGATGGGAGGGGAGAAAACACAGCTGCAGCTCCTTGGCCTTCTTCTTCTCTCCCTCTTTTCCAGATTGAAAAGAAAACAGCATCCACTGCTTTCCTTAAAGTGTTGGACATTACCTTTCCCTTGACCCACAGGTGGGGCAACTGAGAGGTGGTTTAAAAGCTACAAATCCATTCCTCACATTAAAGTGTGTCCTTGCAGCAGGGATCGGTCAGGAATGTGCTCTGAGCTCTCTTTGCACGGCTCATCAAGAGCCAGGATGGTTTCCCCACAACCAGGGAGAATTTTGGTTTAAGTTTAAGCCCAGCCTTGGGCAGGCTCTGCTTTCCACAGCTTCTCTGGAGCCAGCCAAAACCAAGGCTGAGTGTGGGGCTGGTTCCTGGAGTGGAACCATCTCTCTGTTAGTGGCTTTAGTCCCCAAAATCTGGAATTGTTCTGGAGAGCTGCTGGGGGGATTTGGGATTTCTGCAGCATCTCCCAGCACCTGGCAGGGCTCTCAAAAGCACATTTCTGCTCTTTTATCTGAATATTCCCTCTCTCCCATTTAGATCCTTAAAGGTCTCCCCTTCTGCAGGCACTCCTCAGATACTTTCAGCTTCTTTTCACTTCTTATTTTCAAGTATATAAATGTGGATATACTTGGGTCAAGTTCACCACAGAATGGTTTGGGTGGGAAGGATCTCCAAGCATCTCATGTACAATTAATGGGGAGACAAAGATCAGGCTAAAAAGAAAAAGGAGAAATGAGGTGGGAACTTGCTGGCAGGAAGGCGGTGCCTTCCCATCCCCACACACCAACAAGGATTTTTTTTTCAATTGTTTTTTCTCCAGTGGCTCTGCTGGAGCACCTGATAATTTTCCTTTTGTACTGTATCTTAGAAAAAATACAAAAAACAAAACCAAGTTTTAAAAGACAAAAAAAAGCCCCAAAAAACCCATTTTAAACTGTTTTTAAAGAAAAATTAAAAAGGAAGAAAAAGAAGGGAAAAAAAAGGAAACATTTCCATTTTGAACTGGCTTTTCCCCACAATTTCCATTTTAAAATGGATTTTCCCGCCAAAACAAGGAAAGAAAAATGCATTTTAACTATTATTTTTAGCACAAAAAATAGCAAAAAAAACCCACCACCAAAACTACTTTGAACAGTTTCTTTCAAAATGTCTATTTTTAAAGTCATTTTCCAGGAATTCGCATTTTAAAGTGGATTTTCTCACCAAAAATATGGCAAAAAAAAAAAAAAACCAAAAAAACCCAGCAAACTGATTTTAAAAAAAGAATATTTGTTTGTCCTCTGAGGTGCCCCAAAGGCTGCCTGTTTTCCCTTCAGA